CCTGTAATCCTAGCACTCTGGGAGGCTGAGGCAGGTGGATCATTTGAGCTCAAGAGTATAAGACCAGCCTGAGCAAGAGCGAGACCCAGTCTCTACTAAAAAAATAGAAAGAAATTAGCTGGACAACTAAAAATATATAGACAAAATTAGCCGGGCATGGTGGCGCATGCCTGTAGTCCCAGCTACTCAGGAGGCTGAGGCAGAAGGATTGCTTGAGCCCAGGAGTTTGAGGTTTCTGTGAGCTAGGCTGATGGCACGGTACTCACTCTAGCCTGGGCAACAAAGTGAGACTCTGTCTCAAAACAAACAAACAATAAAACCAGAGCCAAATTTTGGTATCTAGAGAGGGATGAGAACAAGTGTAATAACTGTCTACTCAGGGAGAAGATGGATCAAGGGAATAGAAGTAAAATGTCACTGTGTTACTATTTTATGAATATTTGGGAAGGAAAACATAATATGAAGGGCTCTAAAGGTGAACTGAGGAAAAAAAAAAAACGACCAGGTCTGCCAGTTATGTTCAATCATGGTTTGCTTATACATTTCATTAACAGTGACTGCTGATGAAACTCTGCCATAGCTCTTACCACAGGAAATCTTTTTTACATTTTATGAAGGAAGGTGATTCTCAAAACTGAATTAAGGCTGGGTGCTGTGGCTCATGCCTGTAATTCCAGCACTTTGGGAGGCTGAGGCAGGATTGCTTGAGGCCAGGAGTTGGAGACCAGCCTGGGCAACACAGCAAGACCCATCTCTAAAGATAAAAGAAATTAGCCAGGCGTGGTGGTGTGCACCCATAGTCCCAGCTACTCGGGGGAGGCTGAGGGCAGGAGGATCACTTGAACTCTCGAGTTTGAGGCTGTAGTGAGCTGTGCTACTGCACTATAGCCTGGACAGCAGAGTAAGACCCTGTCTCTTACAAACAAACAAACAAACAAACAAACAAACAAACAACAAAAAACCTAACTGAATTGGCCAGGTATGGTGATGGTTCATACATATAATCCTAGCACTTTGGGAGGCTGAGGTGGAAGGATTGCTTGAGGCCAGGAATTCGAGACTGGCCTGAGCAACAGTGAGACCTCATCTCCATAAAAGATAGAAAAAAATTATACTGGTGTGGTGGTGTGTGTCTATAGTTCCAGCTACTCAGGAGGCTGAGGGCAGGAGGATCACCTGAGCATAGGAGTTGGAGGTTGCGGTGAGCTAGGCTGACGCCATGGCACTCTAGCCTGGGTGACAGAGCGAGACTCTGTCTCAAAGACAGAAAAACCAACTAACTGAATCAAGCAATACCACTCTAATTTTCTTGGTATGTTTATTTAAAGTTACATTTCAGAGTAAACCACCTTCAGTAGGGTGTGTAGCCTATAGTGGGTACTGCAATACAACCAGAAATTTTATAAAATGTTTCTGATACAGTATAAATTACTAAGGCACTACAGACAGGCACTTGCATTACATACAATCTTCAAATATTTTTAAGAGTTAAAATTATGTATTAGTTGAATACTAAAATGTTAAAGCCCCTGACGAAATAACTGAATGGTTAAGAACTTCACAAAATGAGAAGCCTGTCTCAATTATCTATTGCCAATACATTCATTAAAATACAATTTAAGATTCTAAATTATACGATCCATCCCTAGTCCAGGGGCCTTGTGATGATAGTTGTGTTAAGCTTCAGATCACCCATTCTGCAAGAAAGGACATATTTCAAGATGGCAACTGCTGTGTCATCATTTTTCCCTTTACGGACTGTATCAGAAATCCTTTAGAAAACCCTACCCTTCAACGCACAGCTTGTTTCCCAACTGCAGTTTGCTCTCTTTCCATTAGATGGCAGTAATACACCATCTTTCTTTACACAGGGTCCGCCATGAAGGCAAAGTTGAGGAGAGGGCCAAGTTTCTCTTGGTTAATCCAAGTTAGCGGGATACGAAAGTAGGAAATGAGAATGAAGAAGAGTCATTCTAAAGAGATCACCAGCCCAAACTAGTGCTGGTTATGGAAAATAAGAAAGAGACAACTAAGGAATGAGAGATGTCTGTGAGAAAGGTATCAATGAAGTCCCACTAAATATCAAGTGTGCAGAGGAGACAGGAAATGAAATCTACACATCACTGCGTTCTTCCCTCTAGACTGAAGGAAAAAGGAGGCATTAACCTTTGACTAAAAAGGGGTATTTTAACAGACTAGAAAGTCCACCCTTATTTAAAAAGCAACTGAAGAGTGTCTCATAGTTGTTCTTCTGAATTAAATATTAAGATGTATCTAATAACAGCAGCCAATAACATAGTAATAACACAGTTAAATAATCCAATTAACAAATTAGGACTATTTCCCACCTGCCTCAAAAATTTCTGGCTGTCCCTCTCAATTATCTGCCGCCTCCCTGTGAACTAAAATAAAATCTTAAGGACCCCCCCAGCTGACTGAATGGACCTTCTCTTGGCCAAAGGGACCCCAGAAATACCCTAAAGCTCAGTTGCTGGTCATGAGAAAGGAGGTCAGACATGCCTCGCCATGCCCCCTCCCCATTCTTTGTAACTCATTACAACAAGATGTAAGCTAAAGCTCAAACCACACCTGCAGGTCTTCAGTTTACTTAACAGATCACTTGAGTTTGGGTATACGTCCAGTATATAATTGGTGGCTAGTCTCTGATTAACACACTTCCTTATCTTAACACATTCTGAGCCTTTAAACAAAGCTTCATTTCTTTAACCAATTAAAAATCAAAGAATCTTTAAACCCACCTCTAACCTGTAATCCCCGGCTTCGAGATGTCCTGCCTTTCAGGCCAAACCAATGTACACCTTCCATGTATTGATTTCTGACTTTACATGTAATTCCTAACTCCCTGAAATGTATAAAACTAAACTGTAACCCAACCATGGCGAGATCACTTGCTCAAGGCTTCTTGGGTGTGGTTCTCTGGGCCATGGTCATATAAATTTTGCTCGGAATAAACCTCTTTTTAAATTATTTTACAGAGTTTGGGTTCTTTTCTGTTGACACATCGCCATCCTGTGGCACAGGCCAATACATGAATACCAACTCAACAATGCATGGAGCCTTTACACAGTAAAGAATAGGGCTCCTTTTATAAATGCTTAAGAAAGTGCTTTGAATAACTTAAAAAGACATTTCTGCACCCAGTAGAGTGTAGGCATATCCATATTTACCTTTTTGTATACATATTAATATTTCCCTATTATATTTTATGCATAGTTTAAATACATACAACTCCAGTGTTGAAATCCATCCTGATTGAAATAGCTATGGTATCAAAGTACATAGAAATGTCCTTTACCCTCTGTTCTTTTTTTTTTGTTTTTTTTTGAGACAGAGTCTCACTCCGTTGCCCAGGCTAGAGTGCTGGGGTGTTAGCCTGGCTCACAGCAACCTCAAACTCCTGGGCTCAAGTGATCCTACTGCCTCAGCCTCCCGAATAGCTGGGACTATAGGCATGCGCCACCATGCCCGGCTAATTTTTTCTATATATTTTTAGTTCGCCAATTAATTTGTTTCTATTTTTAGTAGGTCTAGCTCTTGCTCAGGCTGGTTTTGAACTCCCGACCTTGAGTGATCCTCCTGCCTCGCCCTCCCAGAGTGCTAGGATTATAGGCGTGAACCACCATACCCAGCCTACCCTCTGTTATTATAGGCCTGAAACTAAGCAACTAAATAAACTCGCCCAGTAACCTGAAGCAGAGTATTTTTTAAGACAGAAGAGTGATAAAGGAGAAAGAACATAGACACAGCTCTATAGATACGCTAACTTCAAGGTGAATTCACTAATAGACATTAATCTCTCCAGAAAATGCCAGAAAATATACTAGGAGGAAGAATTAACTCCAAGGACTGAAGACTACAGGGAAAGACTTGCATCGAGACAAAATGACAAAAAGCCCAAGCATTCAGAGCCCAAGCATAGAGAACATGTCATAGAGCTTCAGATCAGCTGGCCCAGGAGGCTTAACAAGGAAGCCATTAGGGACACCCTGCTGGGCCTAATTGTTTTTAGAACATATGGTACTTTGTGCCACCACCCAGCTGTGAATTCCCTTCCTTTTATCAGCTTGTTTCACAACCTTAAGAAGAAAACATTAGCTAAACCCCCCTTCCACTAATTTACTGTATTTCTTCTTCTTATAACCTCCTGTGTGATTATAAAGGAGTGGACTATACATAAACCCGCATCTCCTCTGCTTTTAATTCTATAAAGAAAATAGCATGACTGTCGCAGAAAAAACAGTAAAGAGGAAAAGCACAGTACTGGACATATGATGGAAGCTCAACAAATACTGTGCCAGGCTTGCTTGCAAAATACCGTTTCATTATACACTCATCACAGTTGCTGGGTATGAGCCCAAAATCATTTAGTGCACAAAGAAAAATTTCATAAAGCTTTTAGCATTTATTAAAATTAGAATAACTGCTGTATTTCCTTTGTAGATTAAGGTTAAGGAAAAAATAAGGTTTCATTTCTAGAATGTTGAAATAAAAATAAGTTTAACACAATGAATAATTTGCATATAGAAGATAGACAATAAATATTTGTTGAATGGAATTGGAACTATGGGTGCTGAAAATTTTTTACAAATCTTGTACTACAGATAAAATACATGAACCAATAGGCAAACATTTTATCAGTACTTAAAAAACAAAACATTCTTTATTACTAAAAATCATTGAACTCCAGTGAGAAGAAGCTCCTCTTAAATTTTTTATTTTTTTTTGAGACAGAATCTCATTCTGTTGCCCTGGCTGGAGTGCCGTGGTGTCAGCCTAGCTCACAGCAACCTCAAACTCAATCCTTCTGCCTCAGCCTCCCGAGTAGCTGGGAATTACAGGCATGTGCCACCATGCCTGGCTAATTTTTTCTATATATATATATTTTTAGTTGGCCAATTAATTTGTTTCTATTTTTAGTAGAGACAGGTCTCGCTCTTGCTCAGGCTGGTTTTGAACTCCTGACCTTGAGTAACCCTCCTGCCTTGGCCTCCTAGAGTGCTAGGATTACAGGTGTGAGCCACCGTGCCTGGCCTTAAATTTTTAAAATCAAAGATCACAAAACCCTTTGGCTGATATCTTAACTGAATAAAGCAGCAAAAATTCACTAACTTCTAAATTATAGTAGTCAAATGATAACTAATAATTAGAAAGATATGCTTTCCTAAAAATGAACCAAATCAACATTTTTTTTATGTATTTAAGAGAAGTTACAAAAGTTAACTTTTCATTGATAACAGCACATTTGCATCTGGACCAGTTCTGAGAACCAAATTACAAACCCCAGAATACAGAAACATCTGTTCAGTTTTAATTATAGAGCCACTCACCATAGTATTCTTCTCACAGTATGCCATTCCTATTTTTTTCACAGTAAGTAAATAGGTGATATAAATTCATGATAAACCATAAAGATAATACTATGAATATTAATTTAATATCTTAAGTAATAGCAGTTAGAGAAAACCTCAAAATCTTTTGTACAGTGTAAGCCAGTCTGCTCAGCACAGAATGAGAGCATCTTTGCAGGCATTAGAGACTCAGTTCATACAACTAGATCCCAAACTTGTGTGTGTGTATGTGTGTGTGTGTGTTTCTTTTTAAAACTTACTAAAAATATAAAGCAAACCTAACTTTAGAGACAAAAATTAAAAATGATTCCATACCAACTAAAATGCACAAAGATGAAACAAAAGATATCAGAAGTTCTATATAATTATCCAATAAGAAAACAGTTGTTGAGCTTTGTAAATTTTTAGAATTTAAAAAATTAGAAATGAAATATTGGCTGTATTATTTCATTCTATAACTCAGAATTATAATAATGATGCCAATGCTTAATTACATCGGTGATTCTTAAATCTGGGGCATCTTCCTTCCTATTTATGCTTATATCACTGATTTGTTGAAAAATGATGAAAAAGTCCATAGAGATTGAGAAAACATCAACTTTTTTAGGAAGGCTGACCAACAAAATAATTCTTACAGCAGACTCTAAAGTTGTGAATTTTCATGAACTCCAGAGATGACTTAGGACACTCAAGGGAGAAAGACAATTTTCTTGCCCATCATTCATATTTTCCACTATTCATCTATTTCCTCCAAATAAAGAGCCTGACATTATACACTCTTCTGATCCACACAATCACACATAAAAGCAAAGTGGTTTTTTTCACTGGTTTGTTTAGAGACCAGGTATTCCAGGTACCAACAAACATGTTTCTGGAACACTTTAATGCTCCTGAACTTTTGACTTACCTTTCCTGAGAGTCGTCCCCTAAATAGAACATCCTACTCCAGAGGTGGAGACAACAGGCAAATTACAATTTCTTACTGTAGAACTACTTGACAAGGACACAAGGGATAGATCAGAAACCAAGTGTCATGGAATAAATTCAAGATCAAAGACTCTTGGACTTTTGAAACGAAGACTTCCACTTTCTGCTAGTTACTAAGGAGCAGTCCGGCCATGTCCGCTGAGATGCTGGTTGGGTGCTGATGTCTCGTAGGTGCCAGAGGCCCAGGGCTTTCAATGGCTGAACCTTAGTGAAGCTTGTTATGCACGGGGTAGAGTAAGGTCATGTGTTCTGCCCCTTTGAAAGGCAACTTTTCATTGGAATAGTAGTGTACCACTTCTGGGATGCTGTCAAACACAGCGCTTGTCTGATTCAGTGTGTATTTGTTGTCTTTGGTCTGAGCCACTATGATGTGGACACATCCTTGACTAGTCCTGGAACAACAGAAAAATCAAGAAGGAGACATGAACGAGTGAGCAGAGGATCCCTCCCCACTGAAAACAATTTCCTGTAAGATTCACAGTAAGTTGATGGGTTCTCATCCATTCCCAGAATTGTTCTATACAAACAAAAATGCATTCAACACTCTTCTGGAGCTGTCAGAAATTTCACAGCTTAAATGCATGTCGTCCTTAAGTTGTTTACTCGTATTATACATAAGCCATCAGGTCCTGCACCAGAGAAAACAATGAAACAAAAAGCCAAGATCCTTTTTGCCCTCAAATTGCCAAACGAGTGCTTCAGCCCAAGCACCAGGCTAAGAGGAGGGGTAAACTCACCCTCTTTACCACAGCTAAAGGTACAGATACAAGGCTTCTTCCTCTTTTTTTTTTTTTTCCAAAAAGAACAGATGAATCACCATCATCATCACCATCATCATCATCATCATCAAAACTGTTTCTGGCCCCCCTCATCTGAAAAGACCATTCCTGGTTGTATATACTGACAGCTGGCACTAAAGGCTTAAAGATTTAATCCACAAGCGCCAATTTCAGGAACACAGTAGAGCTATTCCTGGTATTGTATATCTGGTGGCCTATCCCATTTTCTGAGCCATATTGCTCCAACACCTCCCCCCACCCCGGTTCCCCTCCAGTCTGATTGTTTCAGCTGCAGGGGCTCAGCTTCCTCAGGAAGGAAATGCTGTTAGGGCTCTTGACAATGATCCTCCAATAGAGCGCCACCGAACTCACAGAGCAATGAGAATTTCCATCATACACACTCCACTAGGCCTACCAGGCAAACGTGAATTTTCTGTGTATAATTAAACAGGGGGAGTAAGAGGCAAGTCAGCATTTCCTTCTTCACCAGAAGAAACTGGTATCAAAATTGCAGTTGGCATTTTGACAATCAACAGATCTGATTTATTAAAGCCCCGAGTACTAGGGAATAAAAGAAGAATGACTGGAACTATTTTTTTTTTAATCAGGGATTATTTCTCTACTGAGAGGCCTATTCCAGATTAGGTAATATACGGTAGAAATGGACTAATGTACAAGGAAAATTAAATAAGCCCCTCATTATCTTAATAAATACTGAGGCATTTACCCAATACCAATTTTGCATTCTAATCAAAGCGTCTCATATCCCACTGTCCAAGCAAATATATCTTTTTTTTCTGGCAATACACACCCCTGTGAACCACCTTCACATTATATCTTTTCTGACTGGTCATCTACCCATGTCACAGTGTCCCCTCTCTTTGGAGACAAGGCAAGCCCATGAGACTTAAATACTTACTTTAGTGCAATGGAGTACCTACTGTTTCCTGATTCGCTATTTCGAACCAGATAACCAGCTTCTTTGCAGGGCTGTAGTCGACTCTCAGCCTCAGCACGGGTAATGGCACCATGATACCAGCTGAAAAATGGGGGGTGGAGAAGGGAAGGCACCATGAATGTCAACATGCACCCTCCCATAAAGCATTATTTGAAATGAACTTCTGGTAGAAGCTCAATAGCCTGCACTAGATCCTGCTTCCCATTCAGAACAGACAAAATGCAGATTTGGATGATCGTGGATCACAAAGCCTATCAATCATATGGGAGTTAACAGGCCAGTTTTCACTCTGTATAGGAGAATGAGATTTAAAGCAAGGTTGTCAAGATATAGGCTCACGCCTGTAAACATAACACTCTAGGAGGCCTACGTGGGAGGACTGCTTGAGCTTAAGAGTTCCAGATCAGCCTGAGCAAGAGCGAGACCCCATCTCTACTAAAAGCAGAAAGAGATTAGCCAAACAACTAAAAATAGAAAAAAATTAGCCGGGCATGGTGGCGTGTGCTGTAATCCTAGCACTCTGGGAGGCCAAGGCAGGAGGATCGCTCAGGGTCAGGAGTTCGAAACCAGTCTGAGCAAAGAGCGAGACCCGTCTCTACTAAAAATAGAAAGAAATTAATTGGCCAACTAAAAATATATAGAAAAAATTAGTCGGGCATGGTGGCGCATGCCTTAGTCCCAGCTACTCGGGAGGCTGAGGCAGAAGGATCGCTTGAGCCCAGGAGTTTGAGGTTGCTGTGATGAGCTAGGCTGATGCCATGGCACTCTAGTCTGGGCAACAGAGTGAGACTCTGTCTCAAAAAATAAATAAATAAATAAATAATAATAATAATAATCACGTAAAGTGGGCCAGTGTGCCCCCACCACGAGGCTGTCAGTAAGCTCCCAGGCACTGTTGGCTACAAGGGTCTGTGGGGGAGACTCACGGCTGCTTCTCCAGGGGCAGGCCTGGGTCCACTTTCTCCCCGTCACTGTGGTCCGAGAGGGCTGGCTTCAGGATCTTCTGAGTCCAGCTCTTCTGCCGGTGGTGCTGCCTCACCGTCTCCTCCCTGGCAGGTCGCTCAGATCCTTCAAACTGGACTGGAAGGAAGACTCCATTTAACATCAGAGGCCACTGAGGTGACCAATGTAAACTTCAAAGAAGAAAACTCGTTGCCTGCCTTAGCTCAGGAAAGAAGCACTTCCCCCTTTCATGTGAGCTGTGACACACTGCCCAATACCCTGGCTCACTGAGCTCCTGCTGTCTTTGATATCTGATAACACTGCTAGTCTCCCACATACAGCCCCTTCTGTAAGATACTCATCAGTATGACATATGAATAGAACATGAGAGGAAACCGCTTTAACATATTTGAGCACAGACTTTGAAAAATTCTTTCTTTTGGTATTTTTAGAATAAGAGACTACATGGAGTTACAGGTAATGATTCCTTGCAAGAGTGTGCAGCATTCTATAAAGCCAAACGAACAGTTTTTACTATGAAATAATAAAAAGAAAAATCAACTCAGAAGCAGAAACAAACTACCAAATAATACTTTAAAGATGCTATGGTACCTAGGTGGGACAGAACATAAGGAGATAAAATAGTAGCACACCTAGCAAGGTACTGAGAAAACAGCAGGTACCAAAAAGAGATTTGTTGAAGAAAAACAAGACTAAAACCAAAATAAAACTGATTCAAATGCTTGCTATCAAATAGACTACCTTCTCTGTTTACCCTTTACATTGGCTATCCTTTTAATTGCAAACCTGGCTTTCCTGTTAGAAGAGCTACCCCTAACATTTTAAATCAAAGGCAAAGAAATTATGTGGCTGGCTAAGTAGAAAAACTATGTCTTGGGAGAAGCAGAAGGGAGAATTATCTATTGACAACCTACTTATCAACTTCCTCTTAAGTTATCTGAAAAATTCACACGTGAAGAATTGATTCCTTTAGAAAGATTTTCTAAACAAAACAAAACAGAAAATCTAGCTTCATGCAGCTTTGCAAACACCTCTGCCTGTAATCCATTTTATTCGGTACTGCCATTGTGGAACTAGGGATTGTAGCAGGTTATAGGGGTAGCACTAAGCAAGGGTTAGAAAAAGCTGCTCCCACCAATCTGATAGCTTCGATGGTGGAAAAATAAACAACACAGTGATCATTAATCATTGAAGGCATTTCCAAAACAGTTGCACACTGAGAAGAGAAAGGAAAATAAAGGTATCGGTAAGGATAAAAAAATAAATGCAATATTGAGGGACCAACTTCAGTCCTGGTCTTTCAACCATAGCCAGATTCTCATTCCCTATATCAAATCCCTTGGAAAAAAGAGACCTGCAGTGAGGAACACCGAGGAAAGGCACGCGGCTGGGAGGCGGCTTCCGGGCAGGGAGGCCCTCGGCCAGGCCCGCCCTCACCTGACAGCGCCCGCACGATCTGCTCCTTCTTCCACTCCCAGGGCTGCTCGTACTCCGCCGCCGGCCTCTCGTCGTTCTCGGGCAGCCGGCTGTCCGGGGGCCGCGCCTTCCCCTCGGCCCTGGGGCCCGCGTCTGCAGGCTCGTAGGGAGTGTCGTACAGCTGCGGCTTCCCCAGGAGGTCCTTGGAACTGCGTCTTTTGGCCGAGGACGACTGCCCCTCTGACTTCAGGCCGTTCTCTCCCGGCTCGCAGGGGCTGTCCAGCAGCTGAAGAGCCTTCACCAGGGGATCTTTGGAACCGCGGCGTCTAATTTCTGAAAGACACGTGTCACACACAAGCCCTTGAAAGAAAAGGTGCCATAAAGCCTGGTAATTAACCTAATTGGCGCTTCACCTCTGACTGGTTGGAGGTGGCAGAGAGCTGCAAGCCTGTCCCCTAAGGGGCTGATGACTTCCCAGCAGGGCTGCAAATGCAAAAGGAAGGTGCCCACCACTTCTTCCTTCCAGTCGCCTGAGCCAGATAACGGAGTTAACGGGATCAACTTTTAAAATGAGAGATTGTATCTGAAGACAGGCACACCTCCAGGGCGCCACTTGCAGGTGTAAAGAAGTGGCGTCAGGGCAACCTGCTTCTCATCCTGGTGTCTGCTCTGAGTACAGTTCACCTTCAGAGTTTTTACATTTTGTTAGGAAGCCCAGATCAAAGTATTTTAATAAAACTGTATAATAAGTCGAAAATGCATTTAATATACCCAACCTACTGAACAAACATCATAGCTTAGCCTAGCCTACCTTAAACATACTCAGAACACTTACATTAGTCTACAGCTGGGCAAAATCATCTAACACAAAGCCTACTTTACAAGAAAGTGTTGACTATCTCCTGTAATTAACTGAATACTCTATTGAAAGTGAAAAACAGAATGGTCGAATGGATACGTGAAGGACAGTTTCTACTGAGCGCAAATCGCTTTTGCACTATTGTAAAGTCCAAAAATCATAAGTCAAACCGTTGTAAGTTAGAGACTGTGCATTCAAAGCACTGTTCCATATGCACTGAGGGAAGATTCGTGCATTGGAGTCCTTGACTTCTAGGCAGCTTTAACATACTAGGGAAGCCATAAACATTTACAAACAAAATGTATCAGCCTAATAACTGCAGGATAAATCAAAGCAAAAGAGGTGTTATAGGGAAAAACAATAATCACTCAACAGGTGACAATTATTGATGGCTTACCATGTGTTAGATGCTATTATATCCTTGATCTAAGAGCGTTTGATTTAACAGAAAAAAAAATAAAAAGTATAAAATTAAAAGTAAAAAAAATAATTAAAAAAATAAACACTATTATAAGCATGTTGTAATTTCTACAACCACTCTATGAGGTAGACTGTTATTTCCCCGTTATTATAGAACAGAAAACTTAAGCACAAAGAGTTTGAGGAAATTGTCCAAACCAGTGAGTGGCAAAGCCTGGATGCAAAAGCAGGAAGTGGGGCTGGAGAAGCCATACTCTTCCCCAGTACACTTGGACTGACTCCAAGTGGAAGAGAAATGGAGACGAGTTGACTTTGATAGAGAAGGTCATTTCCAGCGGAGGAAGCTGTACGAGTAAAGATATGGAGGTGGGAACTATAAAGGGATTGTTCCCATAAGGGGGAGTTGAGAGATAAATTTAAAGGACAGAAGGCCAGAGAGGAGAGAGGTTGTGGGAGAAGAAGCTGGAAAAGTAGACAAGCCAGGCACCAGAGTGTACAAGGTTTAAAGGCAAGAATAAAATGTTTTGGACTGTTCTGTATGTCTGTCATGCAGAACCATTATAAGTTTTTTTAACGGGGAATAAAAATTATATTTGTGCTTCACTGGAACGCAACTCTAACCACAGTGTACAACAGGATGAAGTCGGAAAGGTATGGTCTGAACTGAGGGATAAAAACAGACAGATAAAACCTGATGCAAATTAAGCAGCCACCAGCCAGCCAGCCACAGTGGGAAGGAAGGAGTAGTATCTGGCAGCTGACCAGCCTGGGGTCAGGAGGCCTTGCCAGGCAGAGGTAGAGATGATTAGAGTCTGACAACTAGAACTGGGGCTATAGACCAACAGATGCATCGTGTTGTGGCTCTTCTAAGTGTCCACCAGGAAGTCTTCAATCCATCCTCCACCTGGCCATGGTCAAGGTAGACCTTTCTAAGCATAGACATCTCATCACTTAATACCTCATAAGCTCTCAACTGTTTACTGAGCAAGCACTAACTTCTCAGTATGGCACAAGAGGCCTTCTATGGCAAGATCACTGTCTCCCTCTCTAAATTCTTCTCTCAGCACCACCCTGTCCCTGTTCCACCATAATCCAGCTCTTCGCTCTAACCCAATGGAACTTCTAAAGTTCCCTGCACACCACACTGTCTTACCCTCACAGTGTCCTGGTGATCTTCCAATCCTTTGAGAACTAACTCAGCCTCTCGTCTCTTGGGAGAAGACTTTCCTGCCCACCTTCTCCTCTGACACCTCGCAAGAGCTGACCAGGTGCCATGGCTGTGCCAAACCACTCTCACCTTGCACTTCTCCCATTGTGTGGATTTATTTGTTGATGTGTGCCTGTATTTCCAATTTGGTGGAGACGGCCAAGGCAGGGACCACCACGTCTTGTTTATCGTTGCAGGACACACAGTTGTGCTAACTAACAATTGGGTGTGTCAGGTTTCAGTCTGAAATGTTGGCTCTTAGCAAGCTCATGGCCGAAGAATGACCAGATGCACCAAATTAAGGCAAGCACAAAAAAATGAGGTTTATTGAGGAGAGAAAGATAGGATTATAGAGTAAGAGCAACAAGTAGGTTTACAGAGCGTGATACGTATGCCACAGGTGACAACTGGACCCGCTGTCGCAGGAAAGGGAGAGCAAAAGGAAGGGCAAGAAGGAAAAGGGTTGGTTATGGTCTGCATCTTGTTTTATAGCACTCAGATTGGGACCTTCCTGTGGCTCAGACATCACCATGGAACCGCTTTGATTGGACAGTGAGGAGCTGCATGACCTGAGTCTTACTATGCATGTGGCTTCTAGGCCAATTTCTGGACTCTGTGGTATCCATGCTGCTTGGCCCATGGGCTAGAGAGTCCTCTGCATTCTTTTGCAGCTGGTGCACTACATTCTGATTGGCAGATTCATAGGGTATTTCCTCTTCCCCCAGATATGGCAGTCTCTCAGGAGAGGATTAGGGTGGGGCAGGACGAAGATGGGGACCTGGGGGCCAACCTTGTGCTTCTTCCCAGGTGGGGCAATTGCACCAAGGCAATAGCACCCACTTTCGTCCCTAGGAGACCAGAATCCCTCACTATCTACCTAACAGATGGATGGGTGGGAGGGGAGAGGGTGGGGAAGGAGTGCTAGAACTTCTCCAACAGGTGACAATGTGGGCCTGGAGGTGCACGTCAAGGAGCTACTCACAAACGGATGCCGTGAGTGACGAGAGAATGAAAGCAACCACCAGAGAAAAGGACTGAGAAGGAAAGAGGATCAAAGGCAGAACCCAGGACTCCTTCAGTTAAGGGTGGCTGGAAGAAGAAGTGCCAGCCAAGAAGGCTGAGAAGGAGGGGCCAAGTGAACAGGAAGAAGCACAGAAGACGTAGTGCTGTGGACACGAAGAATGGAAAGGCTTTCTATCTGCAACCTAAAAACAGGTAGGGTGACACCCTATGGAAAAGAATCATCGATTGACTCAATAAGACTTCTATAACAAGGAAAGCACAACAAATGAGAAAAAAGTTATTAAAATCAGGGCACTAAATTCAAAAGGGTGAAACTTGTGTACAGGGTGAGGTTACAGTCCTGCCTGAATGGGGGCCCTGCCAGCAGCTGTCTCTGATTCTCCGCAGTGATGGCTCACGGAAATGACCTGGGGAACTGTAACACACACTGCTGTGTGGGTCCCCCCATCAGAGGTTCTGATTTAATTGGTCTGGGATACAGTTTGCGAATCAAGACTGTAAAAATTCCCCAGGTGATCCTAAAGGTCGCTAAGCCTGAGAACCACTTCCACATGTCCTGGGAGCCCACAGTCCCCTTCCCAGTTCCTCCTGTTCACCAGTACTGACTCTCATCGCTAGCCCCTTCCAGGAGAAGGGAACCACGTTTTCCCAAAACCTCCGCATCAGAACGTGGGAGCTGGAGGAGTAGCCCCCAGCCCCCAAGCCGGGCCAGGCCCGAGGTTGTCTGAGGTAAGAGCTGCATCTCCTGTCCAAGGCTCTTGACTCTCGATCCTACAGCTTTTTCTCTTCATTGCCTATTCTAGATGGAGGTATGGAAAACAAGAAACAAAAACATACTCTGTTCTTGGTTCAATTAAGATAAGGCTGGAATTTTTATAAAAGGACTTTTCTAAAGAACTAAGACAAAGGAAGCAGAAAGCACAAAGGAATTCAAAGGATGAATTTAGAATTTTTAGGTTTCTAATAGAAGCTTAAGTTTACCCTCAGTGTAGACCATCTGGCACAGATAGGGGAAACCCTTCCCCAAGTCCTCCCCTGCAATTCTGCCCCAGCTGAACTAAAAGGGGAGTTAATTCCAACCTTAAGATAGTAATCCCGGCCGGGCGCGGTGGCTCACACCTGTAATCCTAGCACTCTGGGAGGCTGAGGCGGGTGGATTGCTCGAGGTCAGGAGTTGGAAACTAGCTTGAGCAACAGCAAGACCCCCGTCTTTACTATAAATAGAAAGAAATTAATTGGCCAACTAAAAATATATATAGAAAAAATTAGGCCGGCGCGGTGGCTCACGCCTGTAATCCTAGCACTCTGGGAGGCCAAGGCGGGCGGATTGCTTGAGGTCAGGAGTTCAAAACCAGCCTGGGCAGGGGCGAGACCCCATCTCTACTATAAATAGAGAAGATTAATTGGCCAACTAATATATAGAAAAAATTAGCTGGGCATGCTGCGCATGCCTGTAGTCCCAGCTCCTTGGGAGGCTGAGGCAGGATGACTGCTTGAGCCCAGGAGTTTGAGGTTGTTGTGAGCTAGGCTGACGCCTGGCACTCACTCTAGCCTGGGCAAACAAGCAAGACTCTGTCTTAAAAAAAGAAAAGAAAAAAGAAAAAAAAAAGGAAAACAGAAAGAATAAAAAATTAGCTGGGCATGGTGGCGCATGCCTGTAGTCCCAGCTACTCAGGAGGTTAAAGCAGGAGGATCCCTTGAGCCCAGGAGATTGAGGTTGCTGTGAGCTAGGCTGATGCCACGGCACTCACTCTAGCCTGGGCAACAAAGTGAGACTCTGTCTCAAAAGTAAAAAAAAAAAAAAAAAGATAGTAGTCCTGCTCACAAGGAAATTTCAATAAGTATGCATCAAAATTATTACATTTTAATGTAATCACGGGACTACACCCTATGAGTCATGGGGCACCATTACTCACACCCTTAATCCTAGCACACTGGGAAGCTGAGGCGGGTGGATTGCTTAAGGTCAGGAGTTCGAAACCAGCCAGAGCAAGAGCGAGACCCCGTTTCTACTAAAAATA